CCCCCCCCCATCGGGGCAAAGCAGCAAGAGACGGGGCGCGCACCTTGGAGATCATCGGGTCGTAGTAGACGGAAATCTCGCTACCCTCGACAATGCCGGAATCGACACGCACATCGGCCGCCTGCTCGGGCTCGATGTAGGTGCGCAGGCGACCCACCGAGGGCAGATAGCGCACCGGGTCCTCGGCATACACACGCGACTCGAAGGACCAGCCGTTGATGCCGATGTCCGACTGGGCCAGGGGCAGCGGGCGGTTGGCGGCGACGTTGATCATCTGCTCGACCAGATCCACGCCAGTGATGTACTCGGTGACCGGGTGCTCGACCTGCAGGCGGGTGTTCATCTCCAGGAAGTAGAAGTTCCGGTCGTCGTCGACAAGCATCTCGACGGTACCTGTTTTGTCATGATGACGATGATGGTGTATGCGTGTGTGTGTGTGTGTGAGAGAGAGAGATGGATGCGTGCGCCACCCCAGTGAGCAAGTGGAAGAGGCGCCGGGGGGAAAGATGCATACCGGCGGAGTAGTAGCCGACAGCCTGGGCCAGGCGGACGGCCTGCTCACCCATGGCCGCGCGGGTGGCCGGATCAATGTGCGAAGAGGGGGCCTCCTCGATGACCTTCTGGTTGCGGCGCTGGATGGAGCACTCGCGCTCGTTCAGGTAGATCTATGTGTGTGTGCATGTGTGTGCGTGTGAGCAGGACAGTCCTTGGCAAAAGGGCATGTTGTCACCCGCTCTCCTTTCCCCGGCCAAATCGAAGGCATGACATACCGTGTTGCCGAACTTGTCACCGAGGACCTGGATCTCGATATGGCGAGGGTTGGCAATGAACTTCTCCACCAGGAGGCGGTCGTCACCGAAGCTCGCGGCAGCCTCGTTCTTGGACAGGCGGTAGGCGTCGATCAGGTCGGCGTCGCTCCTGCGAGCATGGTGAATGGCCCGTGGCGCGGGCGGTTAGGGATGGGCTCGGCTGTTGACATGTGCGTGGGGGGGTGCGTGCCAGCGCCAGCGTACCAGGCAATGCGCATGCCCTTGCCACCACCACCGGCGGAGGCCTTGACCATGACGGGGTAGCCGATGTTGTTGGCTGGCGGGGGAACGGAAAGGGCGCGGGACAGAGAGAGGGAGAGAGAGAGAGAGAGAGCCCGGGTCAGAGGAGGAGCATGGGGATGATGTGCGCACTTCGGGCAGGGTGCGCGTGCACGCGGGCTGCTCTTCGTACCGATCTGACGAGCATGCTCGACATCCTCAACGACGCCGTTGAAGCCGGGGATGGTGTTGACGCGAGCGGCCTCGGCGATCTATCGGCCCGCGGGGAGCCCCGGGAGGGAGGCGGTCTCCGGGTCAGTGCAGGTCGATAAAAAAAAGAAAAAAGAAGGTGCCACGGCGAGCGGGGGGCGAGAGACAGCCATCGAAGCGCGCGCGGCCAGCCGGAGCGCACCTTCTTACTCTCGATCTTGTCACCCATGGCGGAGATGGAGTAGGAGGCGGGGCCGATGAAGGCGACGCCCATCTTGGCCAGGGTGTCGGAGAACTGGCTGTTCTCCGAGAGGAAGCCGTAGCCGGGGTGGACAGCCTGGGCGCCGGTGGTCTCAATGGCGTTGAGAATGGCCGGGACATTGAGATACGAGTCCTTGGAGGCGGCGGGGCCCTATAAGGGGGATGCCGCGCGCGCGCGCGCGTGTGTGTGTGTGTGCATGTGCGTTAGAAAGGACCGACTCGGGAGTCAGGAGGAGGCCAGGGGCTGGTGCGGTCGGAATAGCGGCGGCGGCGGCGACGTACCACGCAGACGGCCTCGTCGGCCATGGCAACGTGCAGGGAGTTGGCGTCGGGCTCGGAGTAAACGGCCACAGTCTTGATGCCCATGCGCTTGGCGGTGCGCATGACACGGCAGGCGATCTCACCACGGTTGGCGATCAGGATCTTGTCGAACGGCTGTGGGCATTGGGGGAGGGGCGGGGGGGGGGAGAAAAGTGGAGAAGAAGAGATACGGAAGGCGTTGGTATGCGCAGGCGTAATGTGAGTCAGCCGGCTGGAGGAGGGGAGAGAGAAAGGGAGAGAGAGAGGGCCAAGCCACAGCAGGGCGCACCTTGGTGCCGTCGTAGGGGCGCGGGGCGATCTTCTGGCCGAAGGGGTCGGAGCCGTAGCCATGGGGGTTGTAGGGGCTGGAAGAGAAAGCGCGAAGGGCGACCGGGGTGCCGGTGCGGCCGAGGCCGGCCGAGGGCCGGGCGAGCGAGAAGCCAAGACGGAACATCGTGGCAGAGCTGAGGTTCAGGCGTGTTTGCGTGTGTGTGTGTGTGTGAGAGAGAGAAGGCAGAAGGGGGAAGGAGAGGGGGAGGGGGGGGGGGGGAGAAGAGGAGGACGGGCGTCGTACAGACTGGGTGAGGGAGGAGAGCGACACCGAAACCCGAATTCTGGCTAGCCCTGGACGGCGGGCCCGGTCCATGGGGCGCCGATAAAAAGCCTTCCGACGCCGCGGCACCGGGGACAGGCGTGAGGGGAGGCCAATCTGGCTCCGGTACTACAGGGGGCCGCACATGGGTGGCACACGCCCCGCCTGCGCCCCTGCGTGTGTGCCGGTCCTCTCCCTTTCCCCCCCACCCCGCAAGGCCAGTCTGGAGCCTGGAGCAGGGACGAGAGGGCCCCCATCCCAGGACGTGTGCAATGCGTTCCGAGCCGGCTGGTGGGACAGACAAGGCCTCGGAGGGGGGGGGGGGGGGGGGCGGGCGACCATAGCCGGGGCGCAACGGCTACCTCCCCTCCAGCGGCCGGAAAGTAGCCTCCCTGCCTCCCTGGGCCCTGTGTGTGTCTCCCCCGGGGGCGGGGCCTCCTTTTTCGTGGCCTCCCGCCGTGGCGCCTGGGGAGCATCCTCCGCCGTCTTCCGGCCGACCCGGGGGTGAACTCCCCCTTCTCCGGGGCGCCCCAGCGTGCGCGCCCCCCCGGAGTTGGCACTACAATACGCCACCCTTTGAGAATCAACCCTCACCTGGAGGGCGCGGTTGCACATCCCAGAAGGGGGGGGGGGACACTCTCGTGCTTGCCATGTAGACACTAGGACCGGGCTTGCACGTTTGCGCACATGTGTGGACAGCCCCGGCAGGCTCCAAAGATACATGACTCGAATGACCATGGTGCCAGCCGTCTTTCCCCGCTCCCCCTCCCGAGCGCGGCCGTGGCGTCCGCGAGCGAGGACACACCAGCCATGCTCAGGTCGGCAGGAAACCCTAAAAGGGGATCACGGTAAACATTTAATTACATCCGCAGATCACATGGGGATGTCACGTATACTTTGACATCCGCCAACCGATCGGGGGAGATCCAGCACCTCTGGCCCTGCCGGGGGGGGGGCATTGATATCCGTCAACCATATAAGCGTATGGGTCTGTGCATATTTGCCCGTGCGTATGTGTGTGTGTGTTCGGACAGTGGCGGAAAGGACACCATCTGGGCGGACGGCCCCCGGCCCTCGGCCATGGGCTTCGGTCTGTCTGCGCAGTTGCTAGAGAGGTGCTCTTAGGAACTTTAATCGTGGGATGGTCCCGGCGTCCGGCTTGCTGTCCGGCAGCGGGCTGGCTCAGCGAGGCTTGAAAGTCCCGCCCGGGGGAGGCTGCCCCCAAGCACGATCTGGGAGGTGCTTGGTACGCCCCCCCCCCCCCCCCCCCCCCCCCCCCCCCCCCCCCCCCCCCCCCCCCCCCCCTCCCGCGCCCTTCAGCCGGGAAGGGACAAGGGAGACCACACCGGCGGCGATTTTGGGTGCGCCCAGTTGACAGGTGTTTTCGTCTCGCCCGTCCGCGGCCCGCACAGAGTCTTTTTCCTCGCCCCAGAAAGAGAGATGTGGGTTCATATCCATTCAATTGCGGGCTAGGCAATCCAGCTGGCTGATCGGGTGTTCTCGGACCCGGCGACACCGCGGCCCGGGAAGGGGCGGTGGCGGGCCAGGGAGGAAGAGGGCAAGGGGCCCAAAGGTGCAGACCTGCCTGCAGCCCCCTCGGCCTCGGCTGCCTGCTCCCGCCCCATGTCCCTGTGCGTGGTGGCCACAGGCCGTGCAGATGCCCCGATGCAGGGAGGGCCCAGTCTTCAGGAGCCGCCGTTGTGAAGGCACTCGGGGCGACGCGCATTCCCCCCGCCCCTCCCTCGCTTCTGCCCTCCCCCTCCTGTGGCCATCTGGCGCCCCGCACCGGCTTCCTCTCTCCCACTCTGCCTGCCCCCTCTTGAGACGCTCGCCTGGCCTGCCCGCTTCGCCCTTTGCTCGCTCCCCTCCCCTCGTCCCCCCTCCAAGCGCGCGTGCGCATCATGGTGTCCCACTGCTCGACCATCGCCGGGCCCAAGTGGGCAGACACGGTCCCACCAGGGTCGGTCGGTGCCGGCCTCGGCCCCGGTGACGCGGCACACCCGATGGATATCGTGCGCGAGCCTCTGCCCCTGGGCGAGCGGAAGCCCCAGCGCCAGTGGTTCACCCCGCTCCCTTATCCATCCAAGCTGCTGCCCTATGATGTGGATTCGTGTTCCAGCTTCAGGTGCGTCCGAAGCCGCGTGCCCATGCCAAGAGCGGGCCGCACATGCAGGAGAGGTGTCCCGAAAGAGGCCTGGCTCCGAACTGTCGTCTCTCCCTGTGTGTGTGTGTGTGTGTGTGTGTGTGGATGGATGGGTGGGCGAGCGGGAGAAAAATATCACCACAGCGCGAAAATGTGCCCTCGCCCTCCTTCCTGCCCTAACTCGAACACTCCCGGCCCCCACGTCCACATCACGGTGGCCGTTCTTCGCTCCAGTTCGTCCTATCCCCCGCGCAACATTCTGGTCCACCGACCGACCGACCAGTCCTCGCGCTGGTCCTCTGGCACCCCGGCCACGCCTCAGGTTCGTTCGAGAACGTCGAGGCCGGTGCATCTCCCACCACCCTGGGGGGAGGGCAAGCAGCCACCGGCTGATGGCTTGCCCGCGGCCCTTCTCGTCCCCCTCCCCCCCACTTCGCACACTCACCCAGGCCCTCGCACGCACATCCGCACATTCGGACCCCGATCCGAATGGGTGTCCCCCCCCCCCCCTCCCTCTCTCTCCCTACCTCTTCGGGATTGCCCCAAACAGTACATCACTCTGCGACTGGATCGCCCGTCGATCGTGAGCGCCATCTCCTTCGGCAAGTACCACAAGCCGCATGTGTGCAACTTGCGCGAGTTCATCGTGTATGGCGGACTGACGCCCGACTGCGAGTATCAGTTGCTGCACGAGTACGCCCGGCTGTCTTTCCCCTGCCTGCCCTTGTGCAGATGCCCTCCCCCCCCTGCCTCCCAGTTTCTCTCTCTCTCTCTCTCTGTTTCGCTCTCTCTCGCTCTCTCTCTCTCTCTCTCTCTCTCGCTCTCTCTCTCTCTCTCTCCCCCCCTCTCTCTCCCCCTCTCTCACCCTCTTTTGTCCCGCTGACACTTTCCCCTTTTGGCTCCGGCCCCCTCCGGGCCCCGGCACAGTGGTCTCAACAATGACGGCAATACGGAAACCTTCCCGCTGATCTATGACAAGCCGGTCCCGGCGCTCGAGTCGACCAGCGTCAATTTCCAAGTCAAAACCCTCGGCGCCTCGGGCAGCCAAGACTCCGAGCGCGTCCCTCGATCGGCCTTCGATGATTATGAGCCCCTCCTGCTGCCGGTCAAGTACATCAAAATCGAACCGCTCCAATCTTTTGGGCCCAATTACAACTTCAGCATCTGGCATGTCAAGCTCCATGGGATTGATCAGCCGGAGGTCATTGCCCCCGGTACGTGCTGGCGTTGGCATGAAGCCCATCCACTCGCCTCCCCGCGCTGGGTCGCCGAGCGCGTTCCGCTCGGAAAATGCCTCGGGCCTGCGTGCCCTGTCCAATGCCTCGGGCCGGCATGCCGGCTGCTGCTCGTGTTAACCCGTGCATTTGTCTCGCGCTCCCCCCCCCCCCCCCCCCCCCCCCCCCCCCCCCCCCCCCCCCCCCCCCCCCCCCCCCCCCCCCCCCCCCCCCCCCCCCCCCCCCCCCCCCCCCCCCCCCCCCCCCCCCCCCCCCCTCGGGGCGCCCAATCGCAATGGCACGTGGCTTGCCCGGGCCAATTGCCCCAGCCCTCGGTGCGCTGCAACGCTACCGCGAGCACATCGCCATGCGCCTGTGCCTGAAGTTCCTTCGTGAGCGCATCCCCTCGGTCATTGTCAACTCCTTTGGCCGGGCGCGAAGGGACCCAACCCTGGCGGGTCCCCGGGCGCATGGGGCGGAGGCCGAGCCCTCCGGCCGCCCGGACCTGATGAACTGCCTGGAGCACCCGCTCATCGGCCAGCTGTACGAGGCACTGGTCGAGCAGGCGGACTACCAGCGCGCCGAGCAAATCCTCCAGACAGCCGCCGCGCAGGGGATCTTCGCCAACAACCATTCGGACATTCCCCTGGCCCCGGGGTCCGGGGCCGATCGGGGCTCCGCCGGGCCCGCAGGAGCCCCCGGTGCGCGTGGCTCGGTGCGTGCTCGTGACGGCACCACCGGCCCGATGGTGGATCCCCCCGGGGGCAGGGGCCCGATCGGCCCCGGGCCCCCGGCGTCCGGGGCCCCCGGCATGATGCCCGGCCCGGCGGTGGCCCCGGCGCGTGGATCCACCTACGGAACCACCGCCTCGCGTGGGTCGACCCTGGCTGGGGTCCGGTCCGGCTCGGTGTCGCTGTCCAATTCCACCACCTCCTCCCTGCTGTCCGGCCAGGGGGTGGCCGGCAGCGGGGCCGGCGGCCCGGCCGGACCCGGCATCCAGTCGCCCACCACCTCGGCCACCGGCGCCGGGGCCCTGGTCACGGGAAGCCTGGCGGCCGGGATCCTGGAGGAGGCCAGTGGGGCGGCCGGGCCGGCGGGCCCGAGCGGCGCCCCCGGCGGCCCGGCCGCCACCTCGGCCCCCGGCATGCCGTTCGGCCCCGGGCAGAGCTTCCAACTGGGCACCTCGGAGCCGGGCACATATGCGGCTCATTGGCGGCGGCTGCATGCGGCCGGTGGGGCCTGGCGGCCGTGCGGCCGTGGCGGCCATCAAATGGTCCTGGACCCGGTGACCGACAGCATCTTCCTGCATGGCGGCTGGAGTGGCACCCGGGATCTGTCGGACTTTTGGCAGTATCACATCGCGCGCGATGCGTGGGTATGCCTGAGCCCGGACACCGGGCGTGATGGCGGCCCCACGGCGCGGTCCTGCCACACGATGGCCATCGACTCGGCCCGCGGGCGCATCTTCTTCCTCGGGGGGTATATCGACTGTGACAGCCTGGAAATGTCCCAGTCCAGCCTCTTCCCCCTGTCGGGCCAGGCATCGGTCACGGATTTGGCCGCCGGCCTGGGAGATCGCGTGCGCGTGCCAGGTCGCGCCTTCGCCCACGGCCCCGGGGCCGCGGGCCCGGAGCACCCGGAACACCTGGACGCTGACTCGTCTTCCGGATCGCTGCTGTCGGCCCGGTCGTCCTCCTCGTCGGGGCTGTTCGGGGTGCCGGGCTCCGGCGTGACCGGCATGCCCGGCAATTCGGCGGCCACCGGCAGCCCTGTGGCCACCGCGCCGCCCGGGCACTCGCCCCAGTCCGGCTTCAGTCTGGCCGCCGGGGCCGAGGCGCCTGGCCAGGGGGGGCTTGGCGGGTCGGGCATCCGGCCGACGGGCCAATCGGCTCCCGGGGCCGTGTCCTCCTCCTCCTCCTCGATGTCCTCCATTCGGGCCATCTACGGCTCGAGCCGGTCCAATATTTCCCTGTCCGGCATGAGTGCCGGCAGCCAGACTTCCGCTTCATCGGGCTCGACCACCGGCGGCGGGTCGCTGTCGGCGTCGGTGGGCGCTCCCGGGCCCGAGCCCATGCAGGCGGCCCATGCGACCGGCCGCGCTCCCGGGCCGATGATCGACGAGGAGATGGCCGACATCGGCATCGACCTGGACCCGGGCAATCCCTTCCGCAACCAGCTGTTCATGTATGAGATTGCCACCCGGCGCTGGTCCATTCTCAGCATGGACACCGCGCTGGAGGGCGGCCCGCAGCTCATCCACGATCACCAGATGTTCTACAACCCCAACACCGAGGAGATCATTGTCTTCGGCGGTCGGGTGTTCTGCCCGCCGGAGGACTTCGTGCTGCCCGTCCGGGGCCCGGTGGCGGGGGCCGAGCCGACGGCCGACGGCGCCCCCGGCGCCGGGGGGGCCGCATCGGGCGCCACCAATTGGACCCCGAGAATGGGCTTCAACATGACCACCATGCCGGCCCAGGGGGGCTCCATTGTGGCAGGCTCCCCGGGTGCGAGTACGGCGGCGGCGGCGTCTGGCAGCAATCCCGCCAGCTCCAGCCCCGAGTCCAGTGCCTCGTCCTCGTCGGCGGCATCCGGCCGGTCGGGCTCCTCGGGGCCCTCCTCCGGGGCGAGCAGCCCGGCCGGCGGGGCGCCGGGGCCGAGTGGCATGGGCAACGCGCCGCGTGGCCGGGCACCGACCGGCATGCACTCGGCCGCCACCGGCGGCGGCCCGGGCAATCCGGCGGACCCGCCGTCCGACTTCTCCGGGCTCTATGCTTTCTGCCTGAGGCAGAATCCCTGGCGCAACATTCGCCCGGACACGCCGTTCCAGCCGCCGGAGCAGGTGCGCCTGACATCGCGCTTTGGCCACAGTGTGGCCTTCGACCCGGAGTCCAATGTCCTGCTGGTGCTCGGCGGCCAGCGCGGCCGGAAGATGTTCAACGACATCACCATCTACGATCTGGCCACCGACACGGTGCTGTGGAATGAGAGCGACTGCATCTCGGTCCACGGGCCGCCGGCGGGCTTCACCCAGCGCGTGGCCTTCGACGCCGAGGCCGGGGTGCTGCTGGTGACGCATGGCCTGGTGCGCGAGGTGTGCGACCGTGCCACGGTCACCGTGTCGTCCAGCGTGTGGGCCTTCGACATCCGGTCGCGAACATGGTCGCGCGTGGTGCAGAGCCCGGCCGGGGGCCTGGCCGCCTTGGACGATGGCCTCGGCAGTCCGGACGCCGGGACCCACCCCGGTGCCACCGCCACGGCCGCCGCCGCCGCCGCCGCCGCCACCGCCGCCACCGCCGCCGCCACCACGACCACCGCGAATCCCCACGCCTGGGCCGGGAGCGAGATCCCGAGCGCGCGCTTTGCACATGCCCTGGTTTTCGACCAGAACCGCGGGAAGTACTTCCTCTTCGGGGGCAACCCCGGGGAAATGTCTCACGGAGCCAGTGTCAGTGCCAGCCCCAGCATGTCGCCCCTGTCCGGTCTCGGGTCGCCGATCTCCGGCACCGGGGCCGGCCTGGCGGCGGACATGCGTCGGAGCGCCGCCGGGGCCACCTCCGGCTCGACGCGCGGGGCCCCGGGCCCGGGCCAGGCCGCCATGAATGCCACCTCGCCAGGGTCCAGCGCCCTGGCCGGGCGCATGGTGGACTACAGCTCGGCCAGCTCCAAGCGCATGGACGACCTGTGGGAGCTGCGCCTGGACTGCCCGTGGCGCCTGCGCCAGGAGTCCGTCGAGACGTCCCTCCGCCAGGCCCGGTTCATGCTCCGGCGCGAGCGCTTCGTGGAGATGTGCTCCTGGTCGGCGCTCAAACGCGAGTCCCATGTTCACATGTGCTTGTACGTCGGCGGCTGCCCCTGGCCCCTTTGCCGGTCCCGGGTGACCGGGGGGCCCTCGCCTCCGCGCCCGGGGGCTCCCGTCAGCAGCTTTATTCCGTTCGCATCGCCCCCCCGCCCCGCGCCCCACCCCTGGCCTGGCCGTTCCCTTGTGGCCAGACGCTCGCTGCCAGACAAGCATTACCGATGGACTGACCGGCTGCGCCTTGCTCGCATTGTGGGGCTGATGCGGCGCCCCGCGGCGTGCCCAGCCCCGATGACAACCCCCTCGAGGCGCTGGCCTTCCTGCAGAATGACATCCGCAACACCGTGGCCGCGCACTCGCTCCTCGAGGACAATGCCTTCCGCAGCCTGCCTTCATTGCTCTTCTCCTCCCTCTCGGATATCCTGTCCTCCTCGACGGCGGCGCCGCTGTTGGACCGGGATGCCGCGGCAGGCGCCCTGGAAACGGCCTCCTCGTTGTCGATGGCCGCCGGTGCCAAGTCCCTCTCGGGGCTGGTGGCCAGCGGGCCGGCTGGCGGCGGCCCGGCAGCCGGCAGCCCGGCCCCGACATCCGCCGGCATGGCTGGGCCTTCGGCCGTCGGCGGCCCGACCTCCTCGGGCTGGCCAATGCCGGCACCAGGGGCCGAGGGCTTCGGCGCCGGTACCACCGGTGGGGCCCCGGGCGCGGCTTTCCCCGAGGCCGGCCTCCATGCGGCCGCGCGCAACCTCTACTCGGCCCCCTCGGCGCGCAGCTTCGACGTCTTTGACCGGCTCGGGAACAGTGGCACTGCCGGGCCCTTTGGCCAGCCGGCTCCGGGCCCGGAGGCCGGGCCCTTCCGGGCGGGCCGGCCGGCGGCCAGCCAGCCCCCAGCCGCCCCGGCAGGGACCCCGGCCACCGGCAGCACCTCCGCCGGCCAGGCTGCCATGGACACGGTGTTCCCCAGCCGGGACTTCAGCCTCACATACCCGCAGTTCAACTCCAGCCTGCCACATGACTTTGGCACGATCGCCGTGACGGCGGCCGCCGCCGCGGCCGAGGCCATTCGCGAATACCGGCGCATCATGGCCGAGCAGTCGCTCGCCACTGGACCCGGGGCGGCCAAGGCGGCCGGGCACCGGCCGTCGCCCCCGATGGTGGCCCTGCCGGCCGACGCGTCGACCGACATCTGCTCGTCCGGCGGCAGCACCGGGTCGACCGGCGGCCCCAACGACCCGGCCGGCGGCTCGGCGATGTCCGGCGTCGCGTCGTCGCAGTCGCTGACGGCCTCGGACGAGGGCCCGAGCTCGTGCCCGGAATCCTCCGGCTCCTTCGAGGGGAATGCCCACTTCGGGGCCTTCTCGGGGGGCCAGCGCGCCGGCGCCGGCGCCGGCGCCGGCGCTCGGGCAAGCAAGGGAGACACCACCTCGCCGCCCAGCTCCGGGTCCATGGGCCCGGCGGCGGACCCCCAGGCATCGCCCCTGTCGCCCACCTGGAGCAGCGCCCCCTCCTTCGTGGAGATGGTGGCCGAGCGCCCGCTGGCCAGTTCCCCGTCGTCGGGCGTGCGCTTGCCCCTGCCGCCGACGGGGCAGTTCCAAGCCAGTGCCCTGGCCGGCAAGGCCGGCACCACCAGCTCGCCCCTTCGGGCCTTGCCACCCTCCCTGTCGGCGGCGCTGTACCTTCGCCGGAGGCAGATGTTCAGCTCCTTGTGCATCGCGCTCTTCCCCCCGAGCGCCCGGCAGCCCGACATCGACCTGGTGGACCTCGTTCAGCTGGAGCCCAAGCGCACGGCATGAGCATCCCCCCCCCCCCGATGCTGACCGGTGCTCCAGTCCTGCTGGGCGTCCTACCCCTGGCGCAGGGGGCCGCCCGGGACACCTCGCGCCTGGGGGGCCTCACAGCACCCCCCTCGGCCCCGCCCCCTTCCTGCCCCTCCTACCCTTCTGGCTTGGGACCATTTTTTCAATGCTCGCTCCCCCCTTCCGCCCTCCGTCCCACGCTTGCCGGCGGGAGGGCAAGGTCGACTGCTCGTCCCTCCCAATAAACCTCCCCCCCTGATCGCTCTTTTTTTGTGCCGCCCATCCCCCGAAAAAGGGGGCTGGGGGCTCCTTATACCTCTCTCTCTCTCTCTCCCTCCCTCGCCCTGTCTCTTCCTCCATCTCTCTCTCTCTGGCCGGCTCGCTCCACCACCCCAAGAGTCAGCGATCCCCTGGTGGCGGTGGTGCGGGTGCGGCACCGCCGACGCCGACACTCGCTGCCGCCGGTGTGGCTGTGTGCCTGGCTCTCTATTGCGCGACAGATGTGCCCCTGGCTGGGGAGGAGAGAAGGACCGAGGGGGCCCAGCCTACATGTGGCGATGCCCCGGTCCGGGAGGTGCGACAGTTACCACAACCAGCGCCGGGACAGTGGGGCCGGCGAGGGCGAGCAGGCGGGCATGCTCTGGCGGGCGACCGGGGGGGGGGGGGGGGGGGGG